ATACACCATTTGTTTCTACGGGATCCTGGAGCCCATGTCCACCATTGATTTGGAATCAGAGTTTTCCAACTCCCCTGAGAGCGTGTCCGCATTACCCAAAGGAACAACTGCTTGAGGCCGGTCACACACATTTCTGTGAGTAATTTTCATGTTAGCTCCGTACTTGTTGAGACCTTACCTTCCTATACTATATCCTTATATGTAATCTTCCTTTTATTTATTACCACCATTGAAATAACTACTTTTATGAATTCGGTGTTCATCTTGCTGTGCTAATGAAGTGTGGCAACTTGGACCGACGCGAATATGTGCCAGGTCCTGCGTTATAGCTGACTGACACTTCGTTGTTTAGAATATGTATATACATTATAGTAAATTACATTCCTTAATCTATAGTTATCAATAAATTACTTTTTATTTATCAATTATTACTGAGTAGTAATGTTTACGTTTACTATACAAACGAATAGACGAACAAACTAAAACTCTAAACATTCCAAAACAACAACCTAAGGGTGAATCAATAGACATAAGCATCAAACAGTTCGGTTTATTTATCATCCATCCAATGAAGATCACATCGGTACATTTACTTTTATTGATTAACAATGGAATGTTTGAAAAGTTCAAGGATATATTTATCTGTACATGTACATGTTTAGATGCGAATAAGAAAACAAATAGCAAATTAAAGTTTCAAGTTAAAATTTTTATAGCATAACTGAAGTATCATTATTGATTGAAATCATGAACTGATTGATGTTAGACCACCACCGAGAACCTGGAAGAACTGGACGACCCTTTCGTCCTCAGCAGTAAACATCCACGATCTCACTTGCGGGATTCGGACTCGGGTTAGACATTAACACCGTTGGATGCCGAGTCAGTGGTCTAGTAGGCTTGCGCGCCAGACTGATAGGACCTATATTCGTATCTCACGTAGCGGGATCGCGGATGCGTACTGTTGAGATGTCCCACAATAGGACGAAACGACGGTCTAGTGCTTTCAGGTCTTCAATGATGGTCTAACATCAATCGGTACATGATCTCAATCAATAACATAATAATCTCCACAACCGTATACTGAAGTTTAATTAATCGAAAATGAATAAACAGGTGAATTAAGAAATCATAGACAAATGAATAAGATCATTAATTCGCATTATTTGACCTTTCATTATGTACATTCCGAAAACAAGTTAGATTAAATTAATTACTATCTATTTCAAAGAAAAAATGAAGCATTTTTCAGTTCTATAATTCTTTACTAAACATAAAAGTTATGAGATTATGAATGTAGAATCATTTTATATTTGATTGAAATAATAAATTTATTCAGATGGTGTATAATGTGAAGATGAAGTCCATTCCATTCATGTGATATCATCGGCAAAAGATATTTCAAGAACTAAATCAAACATATGCTAAATTTTCACAATATTAATGTGAGAAATAAAAGTAAAGCCATAAGAAAAAGAATATCACATCGAAATTCCTCCAATTTCAATTGTATGTATGTATATAATTGCGAATATAAGACTGTTACCACTAATCGAGGAGCATAGGCAACATATCAGCAATCTCCATCTAACCCTGTTCTAAACAATCGTTTCCAGTTGCTATTCATCCTTTTCATGTCTACCTCCGATTCTCGAAGCAATATGTTGTTCTGCCTTCCTCTTTTCCATTTCACTTCAGGATTCCAGGTTACCGCTTGCCCCGTGATGTGGTTTGGTGATTTCCTCAATGTATGTCTTATGCACTTACAACGTGTTTACCTGATTTCGTCTCCAGCTGGAAACTGATTTGTTCTCTCCTACAGTAGATTGTTGATGATGGTATCCGGCCAACGGATATTGAGTATCTTGCGTAGACAACTGTTTATAAATACTTGTACATTTTTGGAGAAGTGTTTAGCAGTTCTCCAAGTTTCACTTCCCTGCAATATAACTAACTGTTTTGACGTTCGCATTAAACATTCAGACTTCGATATTGGTTGATACTCCACGTTCATCGATGACGCTACCGAGATACATGAAACCTTCCACCTGTTCCACAGCTTCTCCAACAACTGAGTTGGTATACTCGGAGTTGTATTTGAAGATGTTGACATTTTTGTATGTATATGGGATAGAAGGGCCAGGTTATTTACAAGTCCACATCTAATTGATTCCGATCTGTCCATGCTTTCCTTCAGATGTCGAGGTCTTCATAATACAGATCGGTTGCCGGGTCAAGTCCACACAGCTTATTCTTTCTTCCGAACAGGCAAATTGATTCACATTTTGACCTTGTCAATTATTCGCGTATCAACCTTACTTGTTTTTATATGAACGTATGTGTGCGCACTTCTAATCTAACTCATCATATGTCTGTAGCTTATTTTTATTTCGACTATAAATATCAATTCACAATTGGTTTTTTTGGAACTTGAGCGTATCATGTTTCGCTTCTGTTTTGAATCACCAAGCTACTTATTGAACTTCTTCTTCAATCAATACTGTTACCGCTAGTAACATACCTAATCGCATTCTAGCCAATGAGAATTCAAATGAGCTGCAATTCCTGAAGTCATAGATAACTGATTCATTTTGTTGATATTATAAATTGCAGCTGTTTTATGTCGAAATAGAATATAAACCTAATGAAGGCTACCTACTAAGACACGATTAGTCAAGTTTTATATTACGGCGATCTGTCACCAGAACTGTCTACCACAAATAATAATCAATGGGATTGTCGGCTTATCTCACCGCATATATATTTTCCACAAACACTCGAAAGGATACTACGTGACTGAAATCATAGAGAACCGAGAATATTTATATTGATAATTACTGAATAGTAACCAATGTTGTGTTTGTCCAGTTGTTTATACTGATCGAATTCTACGGAATAAGTTGCAAGCGATTCCAAGTCACTTAAACTTGTAGATATACACTTAGTTGATGAGAGTTAAGACACATGGAGTCTGGGTCGACAGACTATTTCCCAATCTCCTTCGAATATCCAATATCAAATATAAATTTATTTGACCAGTTGATCTAGCAACAAACTGGTGCTTTTAAACATTCTTATGTTTGCCTATTTTTAAACTTTCTTATTACATAAAAGGTGCAATCAGCTTTGTTTATTGTATGATATGGTTCGTGTTTGTATATGATGAACCTAAATTACATCCAAGAATATCTATGAAAGAAAAGAGATGGGACACAATTAGCTGTCCCATTGCAAATAATAACTAATAAGTAAACTTGAACGCCTTATTTCATTTAATACGTTAATTATTTCCTGAATAACAACAAATACATTCAAATTTTCTAGTCCGTTGTCTTATATTAAACAATTAACTGGAAAAATAAAAATGACACAAACATTCATTCCTTCAAATTCACTTGATGTTGTTTGCTTGTATCTTCCCATTGTTGTTTAGGACAGCAACTCATCAGTCTCTTATTGGCATATGTGCGGATTGCCTTAACGATAAGCAAAGATGGATAGTGGAATCTAAGTCACATCTTTTGTCTTATTTCCAGTTTATGCATGTTGTGACATATTTTTGATTCATATCATATATGAAATTCTATGTGTTTCTTAAAAATTCACCGATCACAGGCAATATATAGTGAATGAAATTTCTTCTCATACCACATACGAATACACACAATCTATGAGGTTAACACACTTTTCATTTTACACCACATGTCTCTTGCACACTCAAGTAAACATTGTTAAGGTTGATTGGATGATCTATTCAAAATACAATTAACCAGAGAACCATGTATTTATTTATATTTGATAAAATTTGATTATATTTCCTTGAAAAAGCTTGGACCAGATTGCCAGGCGAAATGTTGGATCTATTACTTCAAATTCATTTGCTGAGTTTTTACAAATACATGTTTTTCGTTTTTAATGTCAAATAATTACTGATTGGATCACACTAGTGGAACTTGGTCTAATTACATTAACCTCATTGATAAAATGAAACTTAGTAATACATATAATTAAGTAGACGCTAGATTCGTGAGTAAATGACGCACTTCAGAATCTTAATTAAAATATTTTACGGTTTTGTACATCAAGTCCCACTAACATGATATTTACACTCAGACATCTTTGCAAAGATAAAAAGCTATCTGTTGTTGGCACTCTACATCACTATCTTAAGTACAAAACAATAACTCACTCATCTGACATGTCATATTTTACCAACTTCACTGAAAAATAAACATATTCAGTGATTTCGTTTTATGTAACCAGTTATCCCCAAAGATAACGCGGGATGATTGTCAGATGGTGAAGATTTGTAGTTTAAGCGGATTCTTTCAATAGAGTTTCATTTTCTGGGCTGGATAGTCTGGTCGTGAAGCTTTCATTCACCTTCTGAATAACATGATCAGCACAAACTTCAAGTAGATGTGAGGTAGTGGAATCCCTTTACATATTATTAACAGTCTATTCCGTCGATCAACTAAGATCGATAGTATAGAGCAGCACATTGCTCCAGTTCATATAATACTAACATATGTCCACATTAAACCAACAAGTTTTTTTAATCTGGACAACAAGAGAGAATGATAGACAAGAAGATTCAGTCAAACACAAAACACATCAATTGTAATATTGCATACCGTCTGCAGTGTACACTACACACAAAACTACAACACATGGAATACACGATACACAATAAGACAACAAACAAACACCAATCATACAATTATGTAGTCAAGATATACCAAATCAAGACCACAAGATATGTGTAGAAGAAGTTGCTTGTATACAATGAAGTCAGAAAAACATATGCTCCACAAAACTTGGCATATGTAGATCAACTTCAACTTGATCTGTAAAAAGTCTTTAGCTGAGAGCATCGACGCTACAATAAAAAAACGAGGTTCGATGTGTTCCAAATACAAAACCATAAATCAGTAAGTTAGTGGTACAAAGGAAAGAAGAAAGAGATGAAAGAAATAATCTCCGTATTTAGGAAAATACAATTATTTATAATCAATAATCAATTCAGACCGATTTCCCTGTGCACCGATCATAGGAGCAGTTAATAATCTTGAAGAGAATTTAAATGCTGGTGCCATTACTTTACGATTAGTATTCAATTTTTCAACCTTTGCGTAACCATTCCAATGGTTACCATGGAAGTGGACTAAATCACCAGGAGATAAACCATGTTCGTTAATTGATATTAATACTTCATATGGTGAGGCTTGTTGTCCACCAAAGTAATATATATCGTCCAATGAACGAAATTGTTGACTTGCATCACCTAATTCTAAATGATTAGACTGCATCAATTCGTAAGCTAATCGACAAACCTGTTACAAGAAAGAATAGGATAAAATCGAAAGGAGCTCAAAGCTAAACTATTAAAATAAATGAATGAAATGAGGATAGGTGCCATTACCATGGTTTGACTTTATCACTTGAAATGGATTGAGGACTGAATAGATCGTTATTAATAAAAATAATATATTTGTAATATCCTTATGAGTAAGGAAAAATAGGGTTCTTAAATTTCTGAAGTTTCGTGACTCAGTGTAAGCCACTTCTTTAGAGAATAAATAACCAAATTAAATTAACTCAAGTTTAAATAGTACAAAGGAACAAAGCAAGAATATTAATGGAAGGATAGCTACAAACATGGCTGTTCATAATATACAGATAGATGGTTAGTAATGAAATTCAGTACTTGACATTTATCTTGCCTGGCGCTAATCAACTATTTATAATACGAGGTAAAAAAGCTTTGGAATTTACCTTTGGTACATTTCGTCAGTATTCCCTTATGAAACCACTACATGTTGATCCTCTAGCTTCTAAACTTCCATAGAAAATGTGAAGCGATTTATAAAAACAACTTATAGATCAACAACGAATAATCAGTTCAATGGGAGTAATCAAAAAGAGATCGTGAGTTACAATGAAACTGCTATATCGGGATAAATATTAAACAAAAGAGAACTTTCGGAACGATCCTATATGAAGTTATTGTTTACATTTTTGTTGTATAATTATTAAATAGTTTAACCGTCACATTTTTGTATTCCCCACTTGTAAGATTTTGTTTGATACAGGAATCGTTTTGTTTTTCCTATATCAAAATTAATTTATGAAGGACCTACCACTCAGTTCTCTTCCATTTATGGCACAGTTATGCCCATATTGTAATTCATTGACTCCATTAACATGTGGTCACGATTTCGCTCTACATCATTACAAGAGGTATTCATAGATTCGAAACGTATAATCAGATACTATCTGGTTGTTGTGTTGTTCCCTATTTTGATTATCGTGCAAGCGAGCGTGGGAAACTGAATACTGAGCCAATAATTAACTAGTTGCTCTTGGATGTTATCTCACATTTAGCATATCAATGGTTAGCTAACGGTCATTAGTACTAGATTTGTAGTTTAGGCGAACTAGTTGATGATAAGACTAGATCAGTACAACTGTTCTGCTGCCCTATAGTCCGATCTCATAGGTCCAAAATAACTAGGCAGTAAAATCTGTTTATTTTGACCGGCACATCAGAAACTAAATGCATACATGTCAAAATGAATTAGAAGTTGTAACACTGAATGAAACTATCAGGTAGTAATTTCCGAATCCAAGTGAATCCCACTTACCTAACATTTCGAATACATATTCAAAGAAGCTCTGTAGTATTTAGATTTCAAATAACTAGGATAGTCAACATTTTATCTCAAATTTACTTAAAATGACACATCACTTAACAAACCGATTTTTATCCACTTTATACATAAATCTATATTATTCAGACAATTTTCAGCTCGCAGCATCACAAAATTAAAGTCTAACTCGATCAACGTAGGATCAAGAAATGATCGGCATTCAAACAAAGCTGGTTCGAATTTCACATCACAGACACGAGATTACAAGTTATCATGATCGCCATCAAAACAAGAAATTTAACCTACCTGTGAAGAAAAAGTGCAAACTAAATAATTCGTTCTTGATAAAGCGAACACGTCAGTTACCACACCCATAATAGAATCTTCAGTTTTTCGGCTGAAGAGAGAAGCTGAATTAGCACGTCCACGATTACCATAAAATATATAGTTGGGATATTTTGATTTAGCCTCATCAAATACACTAGGGTCGTCTGTAGCTATATACACACGTCGTTGTACTGATTTCAATTGGTGATATACATTATGACGAAACGGCGATTTGATGTCATTTCTCCACTCCTAATCGAAAGAATTTATGAAACTTATTTTATACCAAAATAAAAATTACTAGATTATAAAACAAGAAGATTTTGTAAAAAAAAAAAATGCAAGATAAAAATATCAGAAGTCAATCAACACTGGAAATACTGCTCGTTTCACAATACACATAAAACGAGACTGATTACAAACCATGTCAGGTATATCCACATGTCGAGGAATTTCTATACCTGAAAAAAAATGTTTACCATCTCTGATACAGAGTATATAAATAATCATTAACTTGATAAAATAGTTTTATGTCTTCGTTTCTATTAATCCACTGCTAGTTGAAATCTTGAAATATCGGTCTATATATTTGGCGAGCAATAAATATAACTGAACAACACTGATTTTAACTAGATTTTTATTAGGCCTTACTCCAATATATAGTAGTAATTACTGTTGAGCAATACAGTTTCAGAAAGATAAAAAATTATCGACAGTGATGAACTCAGTGGATTGAATTTTCACAACTAGAGATATAAACATTATTGAACTAAAAAACTCAGAGACTTGAGGTAATTTCAGATAATCATTGACCTATAATAAGGTTATTAGACCTTGAGTGTGTTAGCCTATAAAAAGAGTATGTCATGTACTTTATTTGCAATGGCCATGATTAGTTTATCAGCTGAAACACTGTTGTGGTGTCTGTTATATCTTGATCGTCGCTGATTGTTGTGCCGGAAAAACGCTGATCACTTATACTTGGAACGAGGGACCCCTGCAATTCCCACGACGTATAAGTAAGAACACAAAGACTGGTATAAGTGAAGATTTATTAGCCACAAAACACTATGACGATGATGATAATGATGATGATCTAGTAGAAAATACACTCATTTATATATTGATTGAACACCCATTTCGATTAATAATTATATATGAAAAATACTCAGAGTTATCACAAATCGCACATAGAGCATAGTTCAGGTCAATGGAATACATGAATATCGTATATTATACAAGATAAAATATCATCCTAGCAAAGAAAACAAATACTACATTGAGTAATCGAAACGGGAGTAATCTTGAACAAAACTTATAATAAGTAAATCAATCGAAAATTGACTTTTCTTTCCATCCTATAAATATCCGAATTCAAAAAAAAAAAATGGTTACTTAAAAAAAACTGTGACGATGCCTTTACTCGCAGATGTATTCACATGATGGCTAGTGGACAAAGTGAAGTTATTTCTCGATGAATCTGGTTACAATAAAACATTTACTGTATACATGAAAATTATTGCTTAAATACTTACTTCAGTTCTAGACATCATTTGACGTTTGGCATCTATGAATTGGAAATAGCTCTCAACTTCAGTCATATATTCTTCTAAACTATGAAAACTCGCTTCAGTATTTATCTAAAAAAAAGTACAAAAAACGAAATGATTAAGAAAAGGGTTAACTTAATAATTTATTCACATAAATCACGAAAGGCTTAGACGAAACAGTACTTTTTCATATTCATTAAGGTTCACAAAAAGTAACTTGTTCACGAACTGTACAAGGTATCTACCAACGAGTAGGTCAAATGTTAACCACCTAATACTATTGTGGCGTGTGCTACTTATGTAGACATAAGTAGTATATCACGTGAGTCATGAACAGAATGTCTGGCAGCAGAAAGACGAGAAGATCGAACAACAAAGAATGAAGAAAGAATACAATTTGTATGAAAATGCAAGAACAAAAGGATTCTGAGTCATTTGAGACAATTGATGAACAATTTGCAAATTAACGATATAGTATATAGTTGTTGGATTTTACTAACTAGTTCTGTAATTTGTTGTTAAATACATTCGATTGTCCCCACATGTGTTCTTGTTCACAACATTTGGTGTCGCTGCCAGGACTGAAAGGTTTATTTCTGCTTACTTGAATTACTCAGTAAAATAAGAAGAATCTGAAGATGAGACAACTAAACACAATGTTGCACCTGGTACATCTGTCAATCGGTTTAAGTTAACATAGCACGTTAGTACAGTGAGATAAAATTATTTCAAGATAAATCTCAGAGCATTAGAAGTAATAACAGTACCAGCAATATTAAAAAAATTAGGTAAGCAAAAACAAGATATATGTACGGAGATTTCAGAACTCTGGTTCTAGAGGAAAACAAGAAGTGAATGAAATAGAAAAAATTATGTGGAATTTAGAAATTTGGAATCTAGGGGAAGATAAAGAGTGGATGCCCTTTAGGAATTGCGAAAGATTTTGAGTCATGTCATTCAAAGTCCCTAACCGTTGGTTGCTATAATCACGTAGAACCCAAACAGGCAGTCAAGATCTACCTACATGATTAGACCAATTGTCAATGACTTCACAGACTAGAGTCACGTCTTGACCCGTTCGCAATTAGCTTTCCTCCAACCTGCTCCTACACCAGACATTTTCGAGGTTGACAGTGGGCGGCCATACGTAACACACGTCACAACCACCGTTGCCAGTGGATACTTATTGTCTCATCACTTGACTCCCATCATTATCAAGTTCCTTATCCCCAAACCCTTGTTCGGTGGTCTCAAAACATACGAGCAATAATTCAAAGACATTTACTATCAAATGCTAGTAACCTAAGAATATCCTTTATTTTTAATGGCCATACTTCACACTCACAGATAAACGGATCGAAATGCTGAGCAGTAAACTTGCCCTTTGGTTGCAAAAATGATAGCTCACCTACATTGTAAGTGACACAAGTTGTCAAAAACCAGTCGAGCATTTTGAATCCGTGTGTAGATATTGTTAGACACCAGTTCAATAAAACTCATGAAACTCTCAAGATAAGTCAAGCGATCGCTCAACTACTTGACTCGCTATCAATAATTCAAGCGCTGATCCAGGACAGTCCTGGAGCAACATTTCTCACTATTATTTAGGGCGGTTAGGAGACTGTATTTTTCAGTCTTCACTAAACAGAACTATACCATCTGCGTACTCCAAGTCAACAAATAAATATCCTTATTTACTTATTTGAACACATAAATATTGGTACAAGAGGGCACCAAATATATATGCACCACACAAAATTTTATTTGTGTGTGGGCTGTGATAGTGCCCGGGTGCCCAGTAGAAGATCAATAACTAAGACGTTAGACGAGAGCGTTATCTCCAAAAGAATGTCTATGATGAAGTTAATTAAAAATGAGAAAAGTGGAAAATCGTGACAAACACCACTTAAAATTATCAGTTCCAATCACAGTTGACTTGACCAGTAGCGTTTGGGTCGAGACTCAGAACAATCGCGATGTACTTCTTTGGTACGCCTTTCAAAGACAGACACTCTAACAAAAACTCACGACCAACAGCGTCGAACACCGCCTTAAGATCAAGGGATACAAGCAAAATCAGACATCAAAAAGTAATTTTTTGTTCCAGAACCCGCCAAAAAGTAAGTATTCAGTCTATAAATCCATGTTCAGGTATGAAACGAGACTGAATTTTTCAGGTTTGCTCTTCTCAAGTCTTGGTTAAGAGTTGAAGCTAATATTTTAGGCACTATATTAGTTAAACTAATTCTTCTATGATTGTCACAAAATAATTTTTATCCTTTCTTGTAGACTGCGACGACCAGCGATTCAAACCAGTCAGATGGAATCACGTCCAGTTCCCAAATTCTACCTAAGATGTTATTCAATCTAACTGTTAAAACTGGGCTGCGATCCTTGATTTTCGGGGCTAATTCAACTGGACCTTTAATCGTTTAAATTGCCTAAATCCATTCTTATTTTAGCCCAATATTAGCTTATTAGTTTTACAGAGCTTCTTTAATTACCCACATCTTGTCGAAATTTCATAAACCTATATTATCATCAATTTGCTATCTCACTGTTAATTCGCTGTTTATACTTCTTCACGACGTTGAGGATGATAAAAATTACTCTACTAACCATTCAACCGATTTCCTTGCAATATCACACATACAAGTAAAATGCAGAGAAAACTAGCAAACACTTCGTTATCTAAATGACTTTACAGTTGATTTCTCATTTCATGGTGTATGAACCAATTCTTGGTCACCGGCTACCATAGGACTGCATCTCCTAACGTTGTTCCACTGCCTTGTGGATGAGACCTTTAGGTCGAAGGCTCGGGGCGTGACCCCCTAAGGAAACCACCTGTTTCGGTCTGGGCACCCGGTAGTATCACAGCCCACACACAAATCAAGTGGCTTGTGTGGCGCATACGTATTCGGTGCCACTTTGTACCAATATTTATGTGTTCCAATAAATAAATCATTTCATCTAAGAAACAATTCTCAAACGATTTCAAAAATCGTTAAAAATCGTTAATAAACTTGACAGATGAATATTTTTTGTCCACTATCATTTCAACATGATGGGGCTGTTATTTCAGTTTGCTGTAAATCAATAAGATATACTACTCAATAAAAGTTATTTCACCCAGTTCACAGTTTGCTATACTATTTAAGTTACCCTACCTCTCCACATTGTTTAAATCTTTTTCAGTATACCACTGATTAGATTTGTTCTATGAAATTGAAGTGATTCTCGGGTGGTCAAATATCTTTAAGATGGTTAGGGAAACTTGTATATCGACATGAGTTATGTTTTATAATTAGTCATTTCATTCAATGATGTGCAATTTTATTCACAAATCTAACCGTAAATAATCACGTCGTCACACTAGTTAAGCAAAAGAAAATGAAAAATTGTATAATAAGAGTACACAAACTCACTTTATCCGTACGTCGGACATGAATACCAACAACTGGATTCTCAGATTGATCGTCGAATATTTTAAATTCTTCAGTGAAGTTAAATGATGGACGCATTAAAAATTTACCCAACTGACCAATGAACCACACAAATGGGGCACCATGTAAACGAGTAAGTAATTTGCTCAAATGGCTGGGAACAGCTTGAGGGATCCAATCAAATGAAGAGCTTATTGTGTCTATGTGCGGACACGTGATTGCTTGATAGGTATTAAACGCCTTCCCAGCAAAAACTACGAATGAGAAAAGTCAAGAAAAATTAACAAAAACATCTCTAACCCATCTAATTTTGAACAACCATACCCATAGGTGATCAAACGCTGCAAACTTTAAGATTGGCTGAGGATGACCTAATTTCCCATCAGCAGAATAAGAACTAGATGTATTACGGAATCAAAATCACCAAAAATAAAAGATAGCATGATAGTAACTTGTTATACAAATCGCCCAAGAGAGTCGCAAAACTGAACCCAAGATTGTAGAAAAGTAAAATGGATAAGCGGCTTACGGAATCACAAATAAATAATTTGAAGGGATACGTATTTATTTCTTATGAACAGAATACATAGTGTAAAAGACGTCTGAACAACCAATGAAGTAAAGTGTTAGGTTATTGAATTTAGTACTAGACTTAAAACAAATGGATCAGGAGGTCAAACCTCTGTCTAGTACTATGTTCAAGGTAACTGAATGGTATTTCCAGCACTTGGTAAGTGGATTATATTTACAGTAAAGAATAAACATGAGGAAACTTGCTAGAAAAAGGAAAAGTTAAGGAAACATCGAACATAATAAAATCAATGGATTTTATGCAGAACATTCATTTGTCGTCCGAAAACACAAAACATGTTACTTTCAGATATAATTACTAATTTATTTTGAAACATAAATAAACTAGAATTCAAACTAAAAACAATATGGATGACACAGACCAATTGATAATAAATTGACATACTTCTACTCTACAAATCCTTTACGAGAAACATCACAGACAGAGTAAAGAAAAATTATGCAGACATCTTGCTTTATGTATACGTTAATGCCAACCTTGAGTACCATAATATAGGCCTACTTATGTGCAAGCCTGAAGTCAAGGAAGAACGTCAGGTAGCATATAAGCAGTTGGTATGCAGAAAATTCTTTCCAGGCAAAAGCTAATATTTGCAGAAAGTTCCAGAAGACAATCACTATTATCTGACAGGAGACGGGGAACTCACTGTTTGGTAAACAATCGACTTTCATCTGTGTCTAGATGACTTAATGTGTCGAAAGCTTAGTTGGTAATAAACAACACTTTTAACTTCACCAATAATGTGAGGTTAAAATACAAATCCGAAAAGAAACATTGAATTCAGTGTCGTAGGATCGTAGCCTTATGAGATTACGACTAATGGTAAAATGACTCCAGGTTGTGGTGATCCAGAAAATTTCTCGCAAAAGACAAGCAAGGATCAGGAAACACTAAGAAGCATTTCATCCAATCAGTGTTCAATTGGAGTTTAGCCAGAAAACATCAAGTATGTGAAACGTCACATGTAGAGGTTCTGATTGGCTGATTGTTATACCGCTACTATGTTTAGTAGCATTCCAGAATCTTCGAGCAACCCAAGGACATTTAGAATATTATAAAAACCCTCTATTTTCTGTTTTAAAATGAACCTTGGAGTAAAGTACTTTTCGCATACTTTGCGCCTTCTCTCTCGTGTTCAGGTCGCTGTATAGTTCTAGCTTGGGGGTTTCAAGAATAGCCTAGGAGCCGAGTATAGCGTTCAAATCGCAAGACTTATCAATTTAGACAATCGATAAAAAGTTTGATCTAGTCAAGCTAACTCCCAAAATGGGTGTGGAGAAAACATAAAAACAATGTCTTGTACAGATTACCATTTACTGAAATTTATCCACCCTTCTCTTAGTTTGTATCTAATTGTGTGCACCCAAATATGATACATGTCTGGTATACGGATGGAAAAAAATCCATTACTTTACATTAGTAGTGGACGATCTACGTTTACGACAGTAATCCGCTATTGAGTTGTGGATGTCAGCCTTCAAACACTTTAAGCAAAACGATAGTGGTCACAAAATTAGGAGCTAAGGGAAGGATAATAGAAAAAATTGCTTATATAAACGAATCTTTGAAGTCTGACATTAATTTTTGAAGCACAAAGTAAATTGGGCTAGGACCAGCTAAATTATAGCCACAGATTCACAATTTTTTATTTGAAAAAATAAAGATTGGTTCGAAGGGACACCAAATACATACGTGCCACACAATAACAATGAGGCTGTGAAGCGGGGAATGTAAAATGCATATAAATAAAAGAACAATAACGAACACAAATTAGTGTATGAGAGTGAAATAATAATAATAATGAAAGAGGTAGTTTAGTTAGCAAAAAAACAAGCAGATAGAATTCCTTCAGTTAAAGAACTTACGTTCATTTCTTATGAAGAAAGTAAAATAAAGTTACAGCAGGATCACCACTGGCTTCTATTCTGAGCCATGTCTGATAACGTCTCTAGACACTGTGTTGCACCATCTCTAGGACCCCAGCCAGCGAGTCGTGAAAGACCAACACAAGCCAGCCCTTTACAGCTTTCTTTAATACAACGACACCATGTCATACACTGACCACTTCTCCGCATTTTCCAACCAGTCTCAGAGTCGGCGAATAATGCACGACGTGCCCTGGTACGGCCGACAGTGAGAAGAGTCCGCTATCCCTCTCGAAAAGCTCTCATATGGCCACACGTATATAGCCTCTGCCATGGAAGTTCTACTCATTGCCTTCACGTGGCAGGGGTGTGGTTTACGAAAATGAGAGGACGAAAAGCGAATGTCCAGCGCTTTAACCGGATACAAAACCAATGGTGCACATGGGCTCCAGTATCCTGAAGAAACAAATGGCGTATGAACCAATTGTTGGTCACCGGCTACCATGGGACTGCATCTCCTTACGATGCCCCACTGCCTTGTGGGTCAGACGTTCAGGTCGAAGGCTTGGGGTGTGGCCCCTAAGAAAACCACCTGCTCCGGTTTGGTCACCCTGGCAGTATCACAGCCCTCACACATATCCAATGAGATATGTGTGGCGCATATGTATTTGGTGCCTCCTTGTACCAATATCTATGTGTTAAAACAAATAAATAAATAAAATTCTCTGGGACGACATTCGTAGAACATGTCCAAGCCCACGAACTCAATGTTTCAGGATGGTGACACCAATTGGATTACCGTCTCTGCGCCTGAATACACGATGCCAAACCTCTGCATTGCCACTGGATGTCAGCAATCCTTCGGAAACAACGATGATCGAAAACAGAGAGTCGTCTAACATCCTCAACTCGGAGAGGCCAGGTTTCACAAGCATAGAGCAAAACTGCTCTCACCGTCGCGTTGTAGATCCGACCTTTTACAGCCAGACTAACATCACGAAGGCGCCAAAGATGGCCCAGATTGGCATAAGCCGCTCTGGCTTTCACTATACGTGCATTGATCTCATCACTCACACCACAACCAGCACTTATGCGGCTACCTAGATACACGAACTTCTCGACTACTTCTATCTGCTCACCATCCAGAGTGAGTACAGGATTAGAATCCTGCCAGTCTTGTAGAAGTACTTTGCACTTCGAAGGTGCAAAGCACATACCATACCTACGGACACTGATTGCCAACTGATTAAGTGCGGATTGCATGGCTTGGGCATTCTCGCACAGTAAGACAATATCATCCGCATACTCAAGGTCGAGAAGTCTTTCTCCAGGCAACAGATCCACACCACCATTACTTACATCCGTCAGAGCTGTTTCCAGAATATCATCGATGGCAAAGTTGAAGAGGAATGGTGAGATTGGGCAACCCTGCCTAACCCCACTGCTCGAATGGAATAGTGGAGAAAGGTGGTTGTATGCCCTCACTCTGCCTGAGGTGTTTGTATATAGGGCTTTTAGGATGTTAATAAGCTTCTCAGACACACCCTTTTTTAAAAGACAACCCCAGAGAACAGTTCTTTCAATGAGTCAAATGCGACCCTACTGTCAAGAAACACTACGATTGTTGGCCTGCAATAAGCATGATGGTATTCTAACATTTAGCGGAGGGTGAAGATATGATCAAAACATCCTTGATTAGAACGAAAACCGGCCCGCTCCTCGTGAGTCAGTCTTTCATGGGTTTTGAGCAACCTATGGAGTATGACGGAAGACAATAGTTTGGACGCAATCGGAAGTAGACTTATCCCCCGATAGCTGTTACAGAGATGACGATATTGAGACGCTCTAATTTCCGAACTTTTATAAACAACTCGGTCAGTCCCTCAACCAGAAAATCACCACCATCTTTAAAAAAACCGAGGGTAAGTCATCTGGGCCCGGTGATTTGTAGCGCTCCAAAAGTTGGAGTTCCTTGCAGACTTCCGCCTTCCATGGACGGCAAAAGTCTGGTCGATGTTGCTGGAGCAGCAGGTCAGTTGAACTGCCCTTCGAAGAATTCTGCCCATCGTCCAAGACGTCGATGGATGTTGGTGATTGGCACCCCGTCATCCTCGCAAATTGTTTCGCTCACACCAGACTTCTTGCTGCCAGTGAATCGGATGAGTTGGAAGAGCTTCCGGCAGTTACCAAATGTAACTGCTAATACCAATACATTGGCACACTCCGACCACCAGGTTTCTTGGTTCTTACGCAAGTTTTGCACAATTTCATTGTGTAACAGTATTCATTTGTGAACAAACTCGTGGTCACCCGGAGTAGACCAACTGGCTTCAACAAGCTGTAAGGAGCCTAAAAAACCTAGTGCTTATACGCGGTGTGTTTCGCGAAGCCGCAAGCGACTTTACTCGACATTTCCATAGCGTCATGCAATTGCAACCAATTCTCATCTATACTTCTCGGTGGAATGGTAGCTAGCCTTGCACCTAGTCCGCTTTGATATTTAGTCGCAACAGAAGCTGAAACTAATTTACTGACACCGATCCGTATGGGACGAATGTAAGACTACCACAAACAAGGGCATGATCAGAGTACAGATAGGTACTCCAAAGGGAGCATGCCAGACAGCACATCGGTGATGACTGTGCCGAAAGTTAGTGCTAGCCAGAAATAGGTTGTGGTCTGTGCACAGTTGCAGTAGACGGCCACCGTTATCTGACCTTCGACCAACAAGTCCCCACCGGCCACCTAAACGACTCTCTTCCGTGCCTAGACACCTGATTTGTGCCCTCAAGTTTCCAATTAGTACTACAATATCTGTCGGATGTATTTTCTGTAGAACACCTAACAGGTGGTAGGACTAATCCATGATTGCATCCGGGTTGCAATATGTCGGAGCGTATGCAGAAATGACGAAAACATATTTCTCATACTGATTTCTGCTCACTTTGATGGAGCTTTCTAATCTAACAGGACATAACCGAATGTTAATGGGGACCCAATCATTCAGCGACACCAACGCCAGCAAAACCAGACGATGACACAGGGTCCCCAGATAAACGCACGTGAAGCAAGCTCTTTGAAGATGGGAAACCGAAAGTGTCTCTTAGTTCCCTTAAGAACTGGCACTCTGGGGTATCGTTGTATAAACATAGGATTTTTCCACTGTCAATATGAAAAACACAAGTTGGACATTTTGAGCTAAACATTTCAAAATACTTTTTATTCGCTATCCATCAGGAAGATAACTCCGTCTGCAACACTTTTAGAATTACTACCGATCCCAATCTCAGGTGAAGAAGAAGGGTCCGGTACAGGGTAAGCAACCCAACCTAACTAGAGTAGTGAGTTAAACTGACTAAACTGCTCCGGAACTCGGTCTTGATTAATAGGGATTATGAAACTTCGTGGTGAAACCTAAGACTTTGAGGGTCACAATGCCAGTGTTCCTTTTACCGACTATCCAAAGCATATATATGAGATATAGAATGTACAAGCGACGTAGAAGACTGAAAGGCTTATTCCAACAGCCGTAGAAATGAGAAAATGCAGCCTCGTATTGCTTGAAATAAATGAAACTCATCAAAAATAATCTGGACAAGAAAGACTAACTTCAAGAGAGATTTTGTAATCTGGTCATTAAGAATAAATCAAATAAAAAGATTTGGCACTAAACCTTTCCAAAGAAACACTAAAAGCACTTATAGAATAAGAGACCCATGGCTTCAGGATCATCAAACTATCCTTCAAAACGAAGAATGAAAAGATCACAATGAATGTCTCCCAGTACTACTTCGCACAATATCAATGGTGGCAGCAAAAATAATAAAAGCTAATTTTATGAGGCTTCAGTCCACCAAGAAAAGACCTAATCATTAAAGAAGGAGTAGACAACGACGGGCATCAAAACATGAGGCGACATGGACTGAAGGAAAGAAAAGAGAATGAGACAATAGTGAATTTCTGTACTTCGACAACGTGGTCCTAGGTAGAAGCATTTATCCCCGTGAATCTATGCACAAAGCTACTTGAGTTGCACTGATTAACACTATGGAGAACCCAGTAGATGTAGAGCTAACCCCAAGAATATTTTATGTTCTCTGCTGAAAGATCTGGGAAAAAGAACAAGTACAGAAAGAATGGAGAGAGGAAAACCTTATTAAGATAACAAACAAAAAAGATTTTAATGAGTTTGAAAACCATCGAAGTACCATACCACTTTCAGTAACAGACAAGGTTATCAACATTGTTGTTGAACCGAATCAAAAATCCAATTGGCAGCCGAATTAGAGAAAGATAAAAAAGTTTAAGCAGACCAAAAAACAGATGGCACTGGTAACTGGAAAGAGACACTAAAATCATCAATACGACTTCGGAACAACTGAGTAAGAGACCATATGAAAGAGAAATTTAGAGATCTCTTTCAGAAGCCTAGAGCTCAAGAGGCATAGCAGGCCTAAGTAAGTCATAAGAAAGATGTCACTTGTAAACAGATAAGTTATTTGTAGAAACAAATCTTTTGTGTATTGATATCAAATAAAGTGGACATTATCGCACCACATCACACTAGCATAATTCTTAAGATAAATGAAGAACGGCAAGATTACACTGGAACTATAAATATTGTTTAAAGAAAGCTTACAATCAGAATGGATATTTGACTGAATGTCATTTACACTGCATTTCTGAGATAATGGCAAAAAGTTTTTTATCCACCATTGTGTGTATTCCTCCCCATCAGTAGGATTCAAGATTAATGTACGCCCAGTTGCATAGGCCATTTGAAAACAATGCATTAAATGATGGGCATTACAACCGAATGCACAAGGTCTATTTAACGAGGCAACCACATATTTAGCTTTTGTACAACTTGAGGGATTCTGTAAACAAAACAATTACAAAATAAACGAAGTAGAATATAAATAACTCGTAAATAATTAAATATATTAGTATATAAATCATAGATTATTGTACAGAATTTTATAACAGTGAAATACAAATTCAACCCCCCCCCCATACTTTGTTATTGCGATTGATTCTAAGCTATGGTATTCAACATCTTTAAACACTGATCGCGGTTATCATGTGAACCTCAACTAGGTATTCTGCACCTACCTACATGGCTCAGTACAATAGTTAGTGACTTCATGGACTGATGTCACGTTTAGGTTTGGCTGGGCCTAGCGATTATTATTTAACGTGTCAATGATAATATGATACATCCAGTAAAGATATATTCACTTTTAGTTTCATCTTAGATTCTGAATCCCGAAATCTTCTACTCCTTTTTTGTTATTATACTTAATTTTTCCTACTACAACTACTGTAGTGAAGCAGAACACTAGTGAAGACAACCAAATTGTATTTAGCTCAAATTACAGTTAATTGGTAAAATAGAAAAACCATATATTAAATCGCTAATTTGCAAAATATCAATCCATTATATCAAACTGAACTGTTCCTGTTGCAAATATCAATCCATTGACTGATATTTATTGTTCATGAGTTTTCATATAAATTCCATTGTGTTCCCGCTCTACCTTTCTCGATCTTCCCCCATCTTCTGCTGCTAGACATTACGTTTTTAACTCGCGTCACACACTACTTATTATATCAATATAAGTAGCGCGCACCACACTACAACTGATACTGTTAATACCGGTATAGAGAGCCTATCAGTAGTAGCCTAATGAGAAGCTAAATCGATGGCAATCAGAAGTGAACTAAACGACAAGTGCATTTCATTGCCTAGGAAACGGACCAACTTCATAAATTTTAGAGTGGTATATATATATATATATATATATATATATATATATATATATATATATATATATATGAGTATTTGTGTATTTTATTCGGTAGCCCAATACACTTTCTCGCTCACTCTTGTGCCCTCACTCAAGTATTATTTATTTATTATAACAAATAGATATTGGTACAAGGAGGCACCAAATATATATGCGCCACACAAATCTCAATTGATTTGTGTGAGGGCTGTGATACTGCCAGGGTGCCCAAACCGAAGCAGGTGGTTTTCTTAGGAGGCCACACCCCAAGCCTTCGACCTGAACGTCTGACCCACAAGGCAGTTGGGCATCGTAAGGAGATGCAGTCCCATGGTAGCCGGTGACCAACAATTGGTTCATACGCCATTTGTTTCTTCAGGATACTGGAGCCCATGTGCACCATTGGTTTTGTATCCGGTTAAAGCGCTGGACATTCGCTTTTCGTCCTCTCATTTTCGTAAACCACACCCCTGCCACGTGAAGGCAATCAGTAGGACTTCCATGGCAGAGGCTATATACGCGTGGCCATGTGAGAGCATTTCGAGAGGGATAGCGGACTCTCCCCACTCTCGGCCGTACCAGGGCATTTGGGGGCAATAGGAACAATAACGGGGCGGATTTGCAGGCATATAGAATACAAGTACTTAGTTGAGGAATTAGAGCCCCGAATGAAGAGCCTTCTCTCCATCACGAAATGCTCTCACATGACCACGCGTACACAGACACTGATAGTGAAGTACTACTCATTGCCTTCTTGCGGCGTTACTGTTGTTTGTGAAATTGAGAGGACGAAAAGAGAATGTTAGGCGTTCTAACCAGGTTGCTGGACACGGAGGATCCACCTAGAGGAGTTGGAGAACGCTGATTCCAAACCAATGGTGGACATGGGCTCCAGGATCCTGTAGGAACAAATGGCGTATGAACCGAATGCTTATTAGCTACCGTGGGATTGCATCTCCTGACGTTGCTCCACTACCTTGTGGATTAGACCTTTAGTTAAATGTCTCAGGGTGTGACCCTCTAAGAAAACCACCTGCTTCGGTTTGGGCGTCCAGGCAGTATTCCAGCCCTCTCACAAATCGAATGATTTGTGTGATGCATATATATTTGGTGCCTCCTTCTACCAATCTTTATGTGTTTAAATAAATAAATAAAATAATAAACGTAGCACACCATGTATCAGTATCAGATTTTGGACACCGCCCATCACAACAAATACTTTTACTGTTGTGATTCACGTTGATAATTTCATTTCGTTGTGCTAATGTGGTGGAACAACTTGGGTCGATTCATATACATGTAGGGCTTTATGTTGCATATGACTGACTGATTGACAAAACGAAAGTAACAGGCTGAATAGCAAAAAAGACGAAGTAATAATAGTATCATTGATGGTGAAAAGGACTTAATACTGAAAACGCGGCTGGAATTGAAGGAATGGAAAGGAGTTACGTGTGAAAGAATATATGAAGCCAAAACATAGAGTAAAATAAACATTAAGTGTATCTGAATCATCGCTAGCAGTTTTGAGACATATCATTCAAAACCATTAATTATTAATCACTTGGACCCCAACCAGGTAACCTGGATCTATGAAAAGTACCCGAAAAAACAGTAAATGATTACAGAGACTGATACCATATTTTGAGTTGATCGCTTCTAGCTTTTTTTCCAACTTGCTATCAGTGGACATCGAGGAAGGCAGTGAGTAGACTATACTTCTTAAACCCTTCAGTCGATAAAAATTCACAGAACCATCAACCAACTTGATATAATTGCCCAGTACTTGACGCATGATGTAAGATACGTAACCGATACTTTGACGTCACTTATGATCACATTGCTTGTCTCCTACCTTTTAGTCCAAGTCCCAAAGCTATAAAGTAAGAGCGGAGTGATGAGCAGTGTATCCTCCTCCACGGTTGGAAGACGGTCACTTTTCCTACGCAAATTCCCAAAAGCTAAGCAAGCTTTCTAAATGTATTCCGAGATTTCATCAGTTCCCAACAAATGAAATTCAGGAGCTAAGATCAATAAACTATCGATCAATTTTGAAGGAACACCCTAATGAGGCTGGGTGATTAGAGTAACAGAAGGATTTAAAGGTGAAGGTCTTGACAGTCAACATTTCTTATCTAGTGAGACAAGATTAACAGCGTCTTAAAAATAATACGGAAATTGAATACTGATGACATGCACTATACAAATAAAAAAAGCAAACTGATAGATCTACAACATACATTCATCAGTTCGTTGGGGCTCTGAATAGACATTTTTATTCAATTTCTTTTCTGGACTTGTTTCCATCTATTCTTCATATTTTTTAGTTGAACTAAAGACTTTTAACTCATGATTTATGGTTCCTTACCTTGTTAATCTCTGCTAACTGTCCTATTCTATGGTCTACAAATTGCGTAACACCAGAAAGTAAGATTGCACAAGTATATTCGACTCAGAAAAATTGGTCAATCACAGAGGAAACAAAACAGTAAATTTTGTGTACCTAATAACACAGATCCGAAATACCTTATGTACTTATAAGGTCGCAAATCGAAAAGATTAACATCCCATTCAAAAAAATGAGCCTACGGTTTAGAAAATGAAGTTGTAGATTAATAAAATAATCCTATTTGATTTCCGAGTGGTATGCTATCTACTAAATATGAATACTGAGAAACAAACAGTTTTTAAACAACATGTGCAAAAGAAGCAGAATAAAATACAATTCTGCAATGTGAAACTTAGAAATATGGTTTTGGGTTTTTAACGTTATCTTTTGTTAATTTCCACACATTTATTTAGGGGAAGGTTATGTAAGGTTAGAACCATCCACAAATTCCAACGACAAAAGGTAGTGATTGTCGTATGCTGCTAACGAGTTCAATATGAACAGGGCATTAGTTTTAAAATGTGAAGAGTTGTAGTTGGTTAGTTCAGACATTATGTCACATTTTCAAATTACGCTCCATGAATTAAGGGTACGTATAACTTGGTAGTCCTAATATAATCGCCACAGGTAAAACAGACTAATGTCACCGTCATGAAGAGTTGTTATAAAACTCAAAATAATAAAACAATATTACTTAAAGTACAACCAACCTGCAATTGGAATAATTCACTTTGAAGTTCATTTGATAAATATTCCAGATAATTCATTCGTGATTCCAACACACCGTCAACTCGTCCAATTCCATCAATATCAACGTGTAAGTATAATGAAATATCTTGTAACTGACTTTTTAATCGCTCCACTGAGACTTGCACTTCTTTTAACGGTTTAATTAAAGAGGAGTTTTTGATAGTTTTTATTTTCTCATTCACATTATCAAGTTGAACAAGACTATACTTGACTTCACGAGCATACTGCAAAGCACGACGGCGTAAGATTTCATATGACATACCATGTATCCCAACTATGGGAATAAGCAAAATAAAAGAGTAATACAGATAAACATACTGTTATAATTCTCTCTTATTACGACCCAGCTATTCCTATTGCTTAGCATTCTTGGACACTAATTCACTCGATAAGTCCCTAAATCAGGACACGGTTGAACAGATTATATTCCAAATAACAAGGTTAAATGGAAGTAAGAAGCACAATAGGAAAAACGTTAGTATGTTTACAGTTTTTACGTAAGAATATTCTAGAGTGTTCTCCAAGTATCGACTAGCGCTGATTGGACGGGAATTAGACAATCAGCGTGCGCCAAAGCAATCGTGCATTGAGCATGCTTTAATCCAATCTATGTCCCGCTAACACACACTGAATAACCTTTACACGAATAAAGAATATTCTTGATGTTTTATTGCTCGTCACACTTAAAATTTCCAGGGTAGAAGCCTATTTGAACGCTACTTCCCCCTGTACCCGATTAGTATGGTCTTTACAACGTATCATCCATATGTCGGCAGGAAAATGAGCACTTGCTAATAAGCCGTACCTGTGTACCGTTTTCTAGTACAGTGAGAAAAATGTCAGCCAGTATGGGACCTAGTAGTGAACCTAGTGTGACAATATCTATTCGGCCATAGATTTCACCATTGAATTTGAAGTTTACGTTCATATAACAGTTTAGTAATATTTCCTTAACGATGCCCAGAGGGATTTTAGTTCCTATTTTTAGTTCTCTAGGTTGTTCACATGTGTATTCGACAGTTTCCATGAAACATTTATATACAATGATGCTACGTCAAAGGATATTACCGTTTGTTCTTTAGTTTGTTTCTGATCTTGTCGACGAACCGGAATACATCCTTCATTAGGTATTTGTGGAATGGCTCTTAAATGGTTACTAATAGCTTTACTACAGTATGATGAGGGGAATTGTACATATCCAGAATTGGCATACGAACCTTCGGTAATCCATATAACTTTTGTAAATGAGTGCTTATCGGCTTAACTGGTTCGTATATACTTGGTGTTGTCATTTGAACTTTTTCACAGATCTGGTCTGTTTATTTTCTATCATATTACTGATGTATTTGTGGTCATTCAGTTTTTAGGAATTTAAGTGATGAGTCAAGATGTTAGTCTTGTCAATGCAGTTTTTAGCTAAGACAGTTCCTGTTCCTTCACCCAGCCTTTTAATAATAAAATTTTCCTCCTTAATGAGTTCATCGATAGCCTTTATCTGCTTTTTTCATTAACATGGTTTTTTAGTTATATCCACTGTTTTTAAATTTATAGCAACAATCGAGATTTGATTTAAAACGTTCAATTTCTTAATCGGAGGTCGGAACTAGATCTGATAAAACTGAATTTCTGTTGTATGTACCGTAAAACTTTAAGCCTAGGGCTAAAACTCCAAGTTTTCCTTTGTTCAATTCCGTACCAGAAAAATTATGAAGGTACATATTAGGTTTAGTGCATAGTTTATTTTCGACTGGTAGATTTCTTAGGCTTTTCAGAGGTTCTTCACTCTTTGGTTAAATATCTCTGCAACGTGACCAATAAACTGTGATCTAAGGCCTTTTGTTAGTCCACTAATAGCAAGTTTTTTTAGAGTAATGTTTATTGCTATCTCCTTCAAATCAGTATTGAATGTATCGATCTGGTAAAATGTATGACGTTTTAACGCTTATTTGTCTAGATGAATCTGATTAAGGAGTAATGACTTATAGAATAGTTTAGGATACTAACCTAACTCAAAAAAGTTTCCCACAAATTCCAACGCTATTTGTATCTCTATGACCTTCACACTACACTCAAGGAACTAGTTGAGTGTCTTCAATGCAATGAGTTGATCACATTCTGTTCGCCGAAAAATTCCCACCATATTTAAAACAGATACAAGAACGAAGAATATTATTCTCAATAAATTCTCTTATACAATTATATATTCAAATTAATAATCCGGAAATTAACCACTTTTAATGTACAAATTCTCAGGACACCTCTCAATATAATTTGATCCACAAGAGCACTTGAATTTACATACACATAAAGAGGTGGTTAGTTTATGTAATCCATACTTTAATCTTGGAGTAGCCATTGAACGTGTAGAAAGCATTAATTGTAGTTTCCCTACGCTAAAGGTTCTTTGAATTGCTCCATGCAGCTTTAAAATTAGTCTTGGATTCACATGTTATAATTTTAGACGATATAATTACCTTAAATGTGGCTAGTTTTCGGATCGCTGTATAAGCTCAAGCGAATTTATTAGGAATATTCCTTGCTCATATATCAGTGTTTTCAATAAACATAAGATTAAACCGGAATATACTGGTAAATAGATCATGATATAGTGACACATTATGCAGTGAATACTTATAGCTCAGAAAATGAATATTCCCAATAAGGAATTATTTTCAGTTGGTATTAAAGTGTTTAAGGGTGAACTAAAAACAGTAGCAAGTATGATACACCATTAAGATCATGTAATTAATGATTTAAAGCTCATAGTGTTCTATATGGAAAATATTTAGTCAATACCAGAAGCTGTCATACACAACTTACCTCTGTCTACAATGGTATTTTCTTTTTTATTTCTATTGCAAGAAAATGAAATTAATCGGAAAATTCTATTATTATAATTCATATTATTGATATCCTTTAAAACATGAAAACATATTGCAGCATTTACAGACAAATTTTTAAATGGGATTACTGAATACGTTTACTGCTCGATAGTTCCACAAGGGGTAACAGGCGTAAGTAAATAGCTTGTTCAACTCTCAGTCAATCATTAACGTAGAGCCTCGGACAAATGCGCAATGTCTAGTTGTCATATACCATTAGCATAAGATGAAAGGCAAGAGATCAAAATAATACGGCAGACATGACGACGAAATATACCAAACATTGAAAACAAGGCTCGAAAAGTCAGCGGGAAGGTAGATGTGGGAGAATACTAGGAGCAGCAGTTACCACGCGGATCAAAACCAGGTAATCTGCACTTACCTACGTGGCTCAGTACAATAGTCAATGACTTCATGAACTGATTTCATATTTTGGTTTAATCACCCCTAGTTTTCTTCTGTCCTAATTCTAAACCACACAGCATCGTCTGTCGAAATATGCAATGGTTGGACATTCGCAACACATGTTCCAATCACCTTAGCCGATGACGACTTATTACTTCATCAACTGATTTGGCATCCTTAGCTTGTAGTTTATGCCTAACTATAACATTCCTCATTCGGTGATACCAACATATACGAGCAAAGTTAAGAAACCTCTCAGTCAACAGAGTCAAATGCCATCTTAAGGTCAAGAAAGACAACCGTTGTCGGGGGCAAAAAGTACGCCTTTTTTCATAATATTAACGAAGAGTAAACATTTGGTCAATACATACACGGCCAGGCTTAAATCAACTGGTCCTATAGAGTTTTCGCTTCACGAACCTTCGTTTAGCGTTAGATGATCATGGAGGCTAGTATTTTAGACACTACATCAGTCAAACTGATTCCACTGTGGTTGTCGAAGATGATACTTGTCCATTTTCCCTAATCATAACGATTACTGGTCAAAACCAGACGGATAGGAAAACGTCGGGCTCCCAATCTCTAGCTAGTGTTTGTTGGTTTAATAACTGCAATTGGACCACTATCCTTGAAGATCTCCAGCGTTACTCTATCAAACCCTGCTGCTTACCCTTGTTTTAGATTCCGTGTAGGCTTTCTAATCTCAAGTGTTGAGAAATTTTAAGTCAGTTTCTCATGCATGCCGTTTGAAGATAATACGCAACTGCAGTCCATTTGAAGTATTATCTAAAGTGTTCTACTAATCGGTCTAATCTTATGGACTGGGAGTTAATAACTACTGCTTTTCTTGGGACCTCACTAAGGACTTTTATATTTTTGTCTCATTAATGAGCCGCAATATTTATTTAGTGTTACCTACTGCGCCTCTTTTCCATCCCTTTGGCTTTCGTTGTCTACCACTGCTTATGATTATTGCGTTAACTTCCCGTTATCGACCTTCATTACCATCCTTCAAGTTGAACAGGATGTTTTAGGACATCTCTGAGTTTAAGAGACACCATTAAAACCCACTGATATTTCCTAAACTTTGGTTTAAGTTGCTGGTAGATGCTACTGATTTATTTATTTATTTATTATTTATTTGAACACAAATATTGGCACAAGGAGGCACCAAATACATATGCGCCACACAAAATTTTATTTGTGTGGGCTGTAATACTGCCCGGGTGCTCAAACTGAAACAGGTGGTTTCCTTAGGGGGCCACACCCCAAGCCTTCGACCTGAACGTCTGACCCACAAGGCAGTGGGGCATCGTGAGGAGATGCAGTCCCATGGTAGCCGGTGACCAACAATTGGTTCATACGCCATTTGTTCCTTCAGGATACTGGAGCCCATGTGCACCATTGGTTTTGTATCCGGTTAAAGCGCTGGACATTCGCTTTTCGTCCTCTCATTTTCGTAAACCACACCCCTGCCACGTGAAGACAATCAGTAGGACTTTCCTGGCAGAGGCTATATACGCGTGGCCATGTGAGAGCATTTCGAGAGGGAGAGCGAACTCTCTCCACTCTCGGCCGTACCAGGGCTTTTGGTGGCAGATGCTACTGAAGTATTTACAGACGTTTGGGCATCATCCGAAACCTCTTTAACGTACACTATCTCAATACAATAAACTAATTGCTTAACTAGTTCTTTCCTACATGTACCCCCAACGTTTTAATCTTCGAAATGATCCATAAGGCCTCTTTCGGATATAACTGTCCTACATCTAGACTCATAGAAATACGTGCTCTCACTAGGGTAATAACAAAAGTCAAAGCATGCACTCCTAAAGGAATGACAGCCTTTAATCGAGCCCTACTAGTAGTGGAGATTTCCAGGTTAGACAATGTTTCTTTATGCCTGAAGTTTGTATCCGTTAAGAATCATTATTATAAATACGACAGACGGTTATCGTTAGGCTGAGAAAATGAAAAAAAACATCTGCTTCACAGTTAGCCTTAGTTTGCCGACCTGGGTCTACTACAACTATGACGTCCAAGAGCTTAGCAAGCACATCTTTCGCTGGAACCAAGCTGCAGTTACTGAGAGTGTAGGCAGGGACGATGCAACGGCGATAGTGTGTGTTATTATGTCTCCGATTTCATACTACCCCATCAAGACTGACAAGATATAAGCAAATATCGACAGGAATCCAATCAGGAATTGCCTGTGTTGTTCACCAGAATTTAGTGAAGTCCTGATAATTTGCTCACCATCTCTGGATCGGGAAATCAAATTCCACACCAGAAGACAGAGCAGCAGACGACATCGAAGTGGAACGTTTCTAGCCCCCCCCCCCATCTCAATTTTACTACTGTTTTTTTGTACATTATAAGCAAACGCAAAATATATAATAATGGGGTGGACCAATTCAAGTGCCTGCATAGGGATAAAGTTTTAATGAGATTAATTAATTTTAAAAACCATAACTGACTTAGCGTGATACGACGTAAGAAATATCCTTAAATTTGCCGACCCGATATCGACTTGCGATTTTAAACCAGTAATTACATCCAGTAAGGTTTGACAAGCCAAACTTTGCTGATCACTACTTTCCAGATTGAAGAAATTGAAACTCAAATAGATAATTATGCAGATCCATAAAACGATTGCTGTAGTTATCAAGGGACGTACATGGGAAAAATTCTTAAGACCTATAAATACGTAAAAGAAAATATAAAAATGATTACTTGTAACGACCATTTCCGAGATTAATACACGCGCCTTATAAGTAGGGCAATGTTTCACAATTGAGCTGAGAAAAGCACTAGATTTTTTACGTCATCACACAACAAAATTCGCTTTCATATGGACCAATAGCACAACAGGATTTATCGGAAGTGTGAAAAGTTTAAGTGAGTCATATACTACAAATAACTTATAAAATTTAATTGAGTAAATAAGTGAAACTTATAACTGGCTTACATGAAGAGTTTACTAAAGTACTTTCCTAGCAAGTGGTTGTAATCATTACGTATTAACTATCATGAGCATAAATGAAGTTCCCCATCGTTAACAATTAGTAAATAAGATTCGGACTACTCCCAAACCCACAATTGATTGATCACTTGGTGGTGACCAATGTCATGCGTGTCTAGTCTATAGCATTAGTGCAGATCGAATGCTATCGACCAGTCCTACAGGAGGTTGGTCGCGGCCTGGATAACTCAGTGGTAACGTCTCTGACTGTGAAGCTGGGTGACACGGAATCGAATCCGTCAGGGAGCACCAGTCTCCTCAAAGATTACAGATACACCTTGCTGACGAATGCCAAGTAGCACGAAACCCGGGTCCAAGGTTTCCTGTCGACTACCTCTAACCACCATTTAAACTCCTAAACCCGGAGAGCTTTGTGACTTAGAGAAAACCATGCTACGCAGCTTTCATAACAATTCACCCAAGATGTTACCCAAACGCGGACGGGTGACCCATTTAGGTCTCTAATCGAAGTAATCCATGAAGCTTCAGAGATGCTTAATTGATTTCCAGCAAAATAACTTAATGACGTCAGCAACAGCAGTGTTAGTTTAGCAGCATGTTATGTTCTGTCTGATAAAGCGTAACTCTTTTCAGTAGTTATCCTTGCAACATATTCACGTTTGACGTTGAGATGGATAAAGTTTTGTTTTATATTTGCCAAAGACACATTCGATTTGCACATAGTTCTTTTCAGATTCATATACGAATTTCTGAATCAAATTTGACGCTTAAACATTTCAACGTTTACCAATTCTTCCCGTTTTCCAATGGTATACATGCCTATTATTTTAAGACCGGGCGTTGAGTTGTACCGTCTACTCCCTATCATACGGCGATTTCAAGATATACAAACGCTATTCATGGTAAATTGTACGTTATGATGAAACTTGGTGGGGAGTTTTAGCAGGTGGATTGCACTCTATTTGTTGTTTCTGACAGTAAACATGTCAGCGCACATAGGATATCTATAGTCTGCTAGGTTACATATAGCCCAGTTAGAAAAAGAAGTTAAACTAGAAAGGTTACGCCGCCAGAGTAGTGAAGGTTTTGGTCAATCAGTAAGCAGCATTGAGAATACAATATTAAAAGTCCGTATTTACTAAAAAGAGAAATCTTAAGATTTGATGGTACACCGACAAATCATTGGAGTTTTATTAGAAATTTCGAGTGAGAATACTGGATTTAGAGCTTAGCTAAATTACTTGACTCAATATTGTGACGGAGAAGCGAGAGCCGCTATCCTTCATTATACTATACTAGAACCAGAGATAGGTTATCGTTGAGCCCTAAAGCTTCTAGAGGAAAACGTTTGGCCGAGAACACGTTAATCGACAACTTGTTAAACTTTCTCAATATAGAAAAGAATCAACCAGATAGTTTGAGAAGGCTGCCTCGAGAAATGCAAGCATGAGATGTGACTCTGGAACAGATGAATTACCTTTTTGGTTTAAAATCTTCCAGAAACATTGAAACTATGGTTCTGAAATTACCAACGCACATTCAACAAGAGTGGCTAAAGGCAGTTTATAAGATAATCATAGGAGGTCGAAAGCCTCTGTTTGCCGATCTTACTGAGTGCGTAATGGAACAAGGTGATATAGCTAACACTAGACATGGTCTACTTGCAAACCGCAGTAGTAATAGTGACAATAAAGATGTTGGCATTTTAAAAGGGAAAATTAGTGCATATTACAATGCAGCAAGGATATATTATGCGAATACTAGTGATGACAGTGTCCCCTTACGTAGCTCATTCTGTTTGGAGTGCTCAAGTAATCATCCTTTACATCAGTGTCAGAAGTTTAAAAACAAGAATGTTTGAGAGAGGAAAGAATTCGTTCTCAGACACACGTTATGTATTGTTTGCCTGAAAACAACCGTCGATCTCTGAGGTCATGTGCTATTGAATGATGTAGTTGGAGACACCATACCCAGTTACACAGGAATCAGGAAGAATAAAGAGATGCAGTAGTGATGTCTACATTAATGCACAGATCTATACGGAGAGGAGTGTTAAGAGTATACAGAGACCAGTAGCATTTACAATAGTGCATGTATGTATAAAAAATGGTGAGAAGATTATTCAAAATTGCGCCTTTTTATTTGGCGGATCAGATACCTCCGTCATTGTTGATGGTCTGGCTGATGAGTTAGGCCTCGAGCGGAAACCGAAATTGGTATATTTGAAGGCTCTTAGTAATGAATTGTCGTTAGTATCCAAAGAGGTCGATGTAGAATTACACTCTACAGATTTTCCGTCGTACGTTAAGGCCCAGAAAGTGTTGACCGTCAAAAAACTACCTGCGGTTTACCGGGCTGTACGAACGGCGCATCAAATGGCATCCTAATCCCACTCAGGAGACATAATTTTTCTGAGAGTAGAAGATGAGAATGTTGAACTGCTGATTGGGTGTAACTCACCGGGCATACACAAGATGAGAGACATAAAAACCGGAAAGACGAATGAACCATCTGCCATGAGGACTCTATTAAGTTGGACGCTGTTCGGTCCTTACGGGAAATCTAATGAAAGCAAACGTGTACTTAGTCATCTCTCAGATTGGGAGGAAGAAGATATGTGGCCTAACCTAGAAAAGGATGAGAAAACTGTGGCTCATTTAGTAACAGAAGATTTCGTATCATCAAAAAGCAATGATGAGTTTCTAGATCAATTTCATACGTGTAAGTCTTCGGCCAAACTATTAAGGGTGTTTTCATACTGCAGACATGTTATCGATAATACGTTAGACAATAGGAATGGAAAGTGTCTAACCTTAGGAGCAATCAGTGTTGAGGGTATCGATAAATCGAAGAGTGACATAATTAAGCTACTCCAAAGTCTCGTATTCCTGGTCGAAAGAAGAATTCTAGACAGTTCGCCGTCAACGCTCGGAGACAATGCTTCTAGACAGCAGGAAAACCGGGAAAGAATGGAAAAGAAAGTCACCAAGCTGAAAGCCAAGGCACCGAAATAGCCAAAGGCCACTGTAACAAGGAAGCCAGTATCTAAGACACTGAAGAAGCATGCAGCACATATTCACCATGGTATCGTACATGGTGTTGAGAAAGGCGCCTTTGTACGAGTTATGAATAAGAGTGAGGGTGCATCTGGTAGACTTAAAGGAGTCAATGCTAGTGTTAGACAGATTATGTGTAGCTGGAACCAGAATAAAAGAGCAAATGCTCTTTTAGAAAGAGGTTGTGAATGGCGCTTTAACCTTCCCAGAGCTAGTCATCGATGCATTGTATGGGAATCAATTAGAAAGACTCTAAGAGAGCTTCTATTTCAAAACGTACTGACCGATGAAGTTCTGCAAGTGTTCTTGACTGAAATGAGTAGAAGTCTATGGTCTTAAGCCACAGTCGAACAGGTGAACTATGGTCCTGACTGGAGACTTCTCACAGCAAAGTGGAGAACAGCAAACGAAGAAATCTTTCGGGATATACGAAGCCTATACCTACTAAGAGTCGGTTATTTGACGGCGACGATGGCCCATGACGATGGATGTGGTGCGCGTTTCGGGGGGACTATAAAGTGTGATCGATAGACGAACCCACCAATCCTGAAGTGAAACGCCCACCACCACATCAACTTTCTTTGACTTTGTATGACTATGTCTTGTTTATTCACCAATCACAATTTTATGTTCATTATAAAACAATATTCACCATGTTGACTCATTTTTCCCATCCTCTAGTTACTGTTCGGTACGTTATTTATGTTATTTCTTTTCCCTGTTTAATAGACTGTACTTAGATAGCACACCTTGCTGACGAGTGCCAAGTAGCACGAAACCCGGGTCCAGGGTATCCTATCGACTACCTCTAACCACCATCTAATCTCACAATAGTGCACGCAGTGTCGAGTCATCTAGGCTGGTGGCCATATCGCAACGTGATTGAGAGCTTGCGACCTGCACTAATAGGGACTTGACACACACGATATTGATCACCACGCAGTGATCAATCAATTGCAATAGACTGTATTGTTCATTTTGTAAAATAACGGTGTTAATTTATGTTTTAGAAACAGATAAATTTTATCAAGCCAAATAGCTTACCTGTTTCAACTTCGGCTAGACCAGGGCTCTGTGCTCGACTGTCTAGAGAATAGCTTAGAGTTACACCTGTATAGAATTGCTTCCTACATTCTCAGTTTCTAAAAAGTGGTGGTATGGTTGCGACAACTCGCTACATGAAATGTTTACTGGCACTTTATTGCAAATAACCATAACCCAAAGCCTTACTATATATAGTGAACATATATCAAACAAAATCGAAACCTGTTGACAATCAATAAATCGATTGCATTACTAATTGTATCAGTGAAGTGGGTTAGAATTATTGCGCGTTTGGCATTTTTCAACCTGTCCGGAGTGAATAAAGAACAATTAACTTGCTTATGAAAGAGTGATGTTAGTGTTGAAAGACGTATTTAAGAATGACACATTAAAGGATGGGCAGTTTTTCTATAAATGGCAAATAATCCATGATAGAAATACGGCAAAAATTAGTTATTCCCTGGCTCATTGTTCAAAAAGCAGTCGTAGTACTCTTCGTTGAGCAAATCTTTTAGTTTTGATTTCATCCTAAGGCATGAAAGCTGGTTTATAACTATTTAGGTTTAATTTTCCGTTACAGTAACAAAGAAGTCTCAATTCTTGATTTCCAGTGTTTATCACGTATAGAGCTTTAAAAACACATTCTAGAAACCAGGTTCTTGT